AACTGTCATGCTTTCATTAGAGAGAAATTAAAATCACAGATTTTAAAGCCAGACATTAATAAACTGTTATTAAGAATTTCAAACCATATTAAAAAGGAAACAAAAAGGGTTCATTACATACATCTTTTCTCTTCCAGAAGGGGCAAGGCAAAAAAACCAAAACAACAACCCCAAACAAAGAAAACAGACAGGAGGTCTCTTTAAATCTAGGGGGAAAAAAAAAGTTACAAAATTTTAACATTTCTTGAGAGAGATTCATCAGTGTTTTTGAGGTGATGAAAATCGAAAAATGTAAAAGAAAAAAAATCAACAAAAAAACCCCAAACCATCAAAGACCACCAAATATTTAGTTGCTAATATAAAGTCACCACCTGCCATCTTTTGTACTTTTACAGAGTAGTCTCCAATGAAATGGAAGTACTGAAGAATGACTGGAGATTTATCTCATGTCAGCCTGATTCCTACATTTCAGGTCAAATGAAGACTATTGTTGCCTTTAAAATAAAAATGGGGCCTGTAAATACATTGTAATTAGGATGTTCAGCTCTCCCTGCCTTGACTTCCACAACACGTCCATGATTGCAGACAACAGTGGAATGCTCAAATGAGATATGTCACCTGAGGGGCTCCCCTAGTACTTCCTGTGCTTCGTAATAAGGACAGGTTAATTGTGATCCTTTGTATTTCCCAAGAGGGACCCAGGAAATGGAGAAAGGTTCAGGTGTCTGTAAACATAGAAGAGTTTGGAAACCTGTGCCAAAGGTGGTTATTTTGCTGGCCTTGCCCCTTGTGTCCTGTAGTTCTCAATGCCATCCTTCTGACAACATCCCCTGAAGTATCCACAAAATTATTTCACAGGACACTGGAGTGTCACCAAGGCTAATTGACTTGTGCTGCTGCAACGATCCGTGGCTGCATACATCCACACAGCCAGCATTGTTTTCAGCCAAATGTACACACACATCTGGAAGTGGAAACTGGGATTTGAATTCATAACCTTTAGTTCCCCAAATGTAGGTCTTTATGCAGAGAGTTAAAAGAGCAGCTGTAGTCACACAAAAATACGGCTATTCATGAGGATATTTATCCTGCTGAGGTCAAGAGCAGCAACATGTTCTCACTTTGGCCAAAGTGACAGATTTCCCAGGGAAATCTGCTTCTGAAGACATGCCACAATTTCCTTACGGTATTTTGGGAATCTGTGCCTGGCTACTATTGAACAGCAGATACTGGAATCAGACTGAACTGTCTCTGTATCTTTTGCCTTTGTGCCTCAGTTCCTTGTACACCTCATTCTTCCTTTCCCTCATGTTTTGCCTGACTTATGCAGAAATACAGTTTACAAGTACATTAAAGCTGCTTAAATTTAAGTATGAGGTGCACTGCTCACAGCACAATTACTGATATTGAGTTAATAAAGCAAACATGTTCATAATTGTTGCAATGTATCAGGCCCTAGTACAACTCATTGCTAAGCTCTCTATCTCATGTAATACTCCACTCTAAGGAGATCCTTTAGGATTTAAATATGCATTTAGAAGGATTTTCAATGCTTATACTTTTTAATTATATAATTAAGGATGAGGAGGGTGTGTTTGCAAAAACTTTCTGAAGGATTATACTAAAACACTCCCTGTTGAGGCAAGATAACCTCACCTGCCACACCACCTGAATTTGGAAATCCTGTAGTTAGAGAAGCAATGCTGGTAACCTTCAGGAGCTCTTTCAGAAACCAAGTGAGCTGTTTGTAAGGGCAGAAAAAATATGCAAGTGTTTCAAGTGTTCTTTAAAGAACTATTCAAAGCATTAGCTCTGGTTGTAGCACATCTACTCTATTGTTTAGAGGAAAACAGGATTATCATAAAAACACCTGACAGGACTTTTTGGCTTATGCCCAAGGATCCAGATGTCCATCCCAGGAAAAAACAAGAGGCAACATGCTTACACATTCACTCAGTTCCACTCATTTCCACCTCTGTGCACAGCCCAAGAATCACACTTGGAAACAAGATATCCCAATTTGTTCACAGGGAAGCACAGAGACTCCTGCTTTCGGTGGCCTGCGTGGCATCTGTTGCAGTGACATGACTCCAGGTAAACCAAAACCCTACAGCCAGTGCAAGAGAGGTGGTGCCATTTCTTTCATGTTGTCCTCAATATGGCAGTTAGGGACTTAGTGGGAAGGCAAAGGTTTTAATGTGTCTTCCTGGTGGAATACTGCATAGCCAAACCAGAACAGGTGATGTCACTGTAATATGACACAGAGATGTCAGAAATGAAACATGAATCCATATCTCACCAACAGCTACAGCTGGGCAAGACTAGTACTGAACAAAAGCAAGAGAGAAGAAAATGAGAAAGGTAATACTCAGCATAAATATAGACCTGTCCCACATAATCAAATGTCTTAAATATAAAAAGGGATTGCATACTGATTTTTATATTTTGCAAATGCAGAACAGCTATAGTTATTTTGAAACCATTCAAGGACATGAGTCAGATTCCTTCAGAGTTGTTATTCCTATTTTTAATCAAAATGCCACAGTGTGAAGTGCAGATATCTTAGTTTTGCTTTCTCATAGTATAAGTGCAGAGTAACAATCATTAAATCAATTTGTACTTACTAGCTTTTACTGCCTTTCACATCTAAATAACCCAAAACATTTTATACATCAGAAGGGTCAGTGAGACCAGGCACTCAGCAACTGTCAGTGTGAAGCTGCCTGTAGTGACATCAACCTGCTCCGGACAGGAAGCCAAGCAATACTGAAATTTATGAAGATTGAATTTAATTACCTAAAAAGGTTTGAGAAAGAGACTGCTACTCTTACAAAGAACCTTATGTGCCCAAAATGACATCTCTCTAACAGTACAACTCATTTCAGAGCTAGGACTGACAGGTATTTGGTAACTTCTTTTATTTCCTGGTGCATATGTATGTGTTGTGATGATATACCATTCAAATAAACCTCTTTCCAGCTTAATGAAATCCAGATTGGCTGCAGCATCAAGATGCCCAACTCATAAATTATAACTCTGGTTCTTTTTTCTCCAAACATAGGGCAAAAATCTCAACTTGTACCTGACACCAAATACTGTATCTGGTACTGCACAAATTATGTTACTGAGGTATTATCTCAATGCAACGCCTGTCCCCATTGCAGGGTGATTTTGACTCTTGGTCCTAATGCATTGCATAGCTCTTCCATAAGTACTGAAGTATAGCTAAATACCAACATAAAGGATGAGACAAATGATGTTAGAAATGGGAGAAGGAGAGGGGGAAGAAATTGAAAAGAAGAAAAAAAAATCAATTTTAATAATAGCTTGACAATTACAATTAAATAATCCAAAGCTCAAGCTGAGCATTTTTGTTACACACTGCATGAATGATGTTTGTACTTTGGAACCTTTAAAATATTTAAGCAGAGAAGAAATGAAATGAACTGCAACCAGTTAAGGTCATCCATTTAGGACAAAATTGATAAAATATTAAAATGAAAGAAATAAATTTTCAAATAGAGATACTGAGGCTTCATAGAGATGTATTATTCAAAGCAAAGGAACATGTGTGACCTCTAGGCTATTACATAATGGAGAAAGGATATGACAGTTCAAATGTGCAGGAACAGCAGAGGCAGAGAGGGAAGATGGATTAACCATTCCATGAGGCAGTGCCAGGCTTCCAGGGAACTTTAAGTGGACCTCTGTATTAAAGCACTGCACTCTCACAGCCAGTTCTTGGACCCCATTACTGTATTGGCCTTAAAAACCTGTGGAAAGATTATGGATTTTAACTAAAGATTGATTTTGTGTCTAGATGAGCTTGCTTGTTCCCAGATGCTTCCACAGGGGGTGATCCCTGGCTGCTGAGTTTCAGTGTCTCAGCTTCTGCAAAATCCTCACCCTGTCCTTACACATCTTTCCACAGAAGAGCCTGGAGTCAGGGCAGCAGGGGCTGGCCCAGGTGTAATCATCACATTTCTCCCTTGCTGTGATCAGCTTTGCTGGCTCACAGCTAGCTTTCTCCTCAGCCATCTTTGTCCTAACAGGCCTTGAAGATACCCAGGTTTAACTTTGGACATCTTCAAGGGGAATAGTCAAATCTAGCAATAAATTATTCCATTTTAATTTAAAGCCAGAGTCAGTATTTATTACACAGGGTTTATTATAAAATGGAGTTTTGCAAAGATTTCAACTCTTTTATATCTGAGGTTTTAAGGATAAATCTCCCCAAAATGAAGAAGTAGCTGCCTACAATGAGATGTATTTTTAAATGCCACCAAAATCTGCCTAACAGCAAGGTCTTTGCTCCTCTGAAAAATTAATTTCCACCTAGCAGAGGGTTCTTGCCTTCAAGCTCAGTCTTCTGAGACAACTCCATTGCTCTCCTGTTGGCAAAATGTGTTCAATATTTGCACAGCCAGAAATGCTGTGCCTAACGTAAGGTCTGGAACTGCACGTCAGGGCATAAAAAGTTAGGGCACATAATGCCAGAGCTTTTTCTTGGATGCATCTTAGCCTCCCTAGAGGACATACAAAAGCACCTAAAACATTAGGAAAATTAGTGTCACTGACAGTCATTTGTGATCTTGAGTCTTCCAAATGTTTTTGATCCTCTTCCCATTTTTACTCAGTTGCAATCACTCCATGTAAAAAAATAAATCTTTGCATTTGCAGAGTAAGCATTTATTTCTAGCTCTCAAAGCTCCTTCCAAAACTAAGTATAAACATTATTAGCTTGATTTTATAGCTGTCCCAAGTGGAGAGAGAGAGACCATTTACAGATGAGCTTCTATGCAGGATGTAGGCCTAACCTATAATACTTCTCCTCTGCTCCTAGCACTTCAGGCTGTTATTCTAACAAAGTATTCCCTCAAATAATGCAAAAGTTTCAGATCCATAGGTGTTCATATATTTTAGGTGTCCATATATTTTACCCCAGAATTTGAAAATATGACCACATTCCTTGTGCTTATAATTTTCAAAAGTGTTCATAGAATACAACCTTTGAGTCAAAGTCAAGCTTTTTGTTCACATATCTCAGACTACTCAGAGTGATCAAATCAAAGGTCCAGGCCACCAGGTACCATTCCTCCAGGAGAAGCCAACAGCAAATGCCTAAGAAAGTGAATAAGAAGTGGCAAACATGCAGTGACACATCCTCAGTACAGTCCCATAGTTTCTAGTGATCTAAGATATGGGGATAGCTTTTATAAGTATTTTTTAAGAATTACTGTCTGAATATTTGAAAGTCCCTGATAGATCTTACTCTCATTAAGTTGTCTGATTATATTTTCAATATATACAAAAAAGCGAGATTCATAAAATCCTGTAGCAGTGAGTACCATAATTAATTACAAATTGTGTGGAAAAAACCCTCCTCTCATGGTCTTTCTAGATTTCAGCTGGTATTCCTCTTTCTGCTTAATCCAGCAGGAAAAATCCCATTGGTATCGGTATGTGGGAGACTGGTCTCAGAATTACCTAGAACAAAACCAAAAAATATGTTTTAATTAAGCCAATCTGTCTTCCTCAAAAAATCTGGTAAAAGGGATTTATTATGGCAAGGCTGAAAAAGAAGTGAGTTACTCTTTTCAGATAGTAGAGGAACAAAATTACAATAAGATAACTTGGGAAACTCAAACATCAACTTTTTTGAAACATTGCTGAAACATTCTGCTATGCCTTCAGCGCAATTTTGCAGCAACATAATTTTTAAAACTGAGATAAGTATGTGTGTGGGGGGAGGGAATAATAGAATTTTCTATTAATGGAAAGCAGCCGGGCTGCAGCCTGAACTGTCGTGTCTTCCCTCCCCATAATCATGGCATTAATTACTTCATAGGTCAAATTATGTTTCTGTTTAAAAGAGTTTGGCCATCTACGTGAATCAGGGCAGGCATATTTAGATCTACTGTATCCTCCAGCATGGGCTTTTATTCTTGTTTGATGCATGCAGGGTACTAATTTAGAATTTCATTGAAGATGGCTATTTTTTCCTCTCCTGCACAATGGCAGTCCAGTTCCAAAATATACAGAACAAGCACACATTAAGCGAATCTGAGGGCAAGTATACTTCCTCCTTTGACCATATGGACAGGATTTTTCTTTAAAATAAAAAGGCCAAAAAGTGACTGGAACAATGCCCAAAGGGGAGAATGGAGACAGACATTTAAAGGTGAGCTCACTATCATCAACCACCTATGTGGCTAGCAGCAATATATATATTTTATATATATATATATATATATATATATATATATATATATATATAATTATATTATATATATATATATTATACTACAAGAAGGGCCCAGGAGATCCTTCTTTAGAAAAGAAAAGCTACAGCTATTAATATATGGGGGGAAGCTGTAGGAATCCACTTCAGATATTGATAATAAATTACACTGTTCAGATATGAGATTACACACTCAGGCAGGCAAACAGAAAAGCAGGGTTTTTGTGTGTATCAGTATTATTTAGAAGAGCTGCTCCAAAAAGTTTTAAGGAATTAGAGTGTTTCTGTCCAGAAAGAACAGCCAAGAGCTTTGGACAAAAATACTGCTCCTCATTTAAGCATATTAAGAGCCTGGATGAGACAGTAGCTCAGGGCTCACAGGGAAGGTGCTGCTTCTTATATTAAGCTGATCCCACTGTTTGTGGGAACAACTTGTGAAATTACTTTGAATGTATCAGAAGAAATAGAAAAAGCATCAAAATATTGTAGCGCATAGCAGGGCTTCTTCAGTCAATGAAATGCCCTTCACAACAGCATTAGAATAATCTTTAAGAGGGTCAGTAGTGGCCCATCAAGCCACCCACTAAAAATCAACACAAGCAATTTTGGTCTTAGAATTTTTTAGAGGATTAGCTTGCTCCCATGTGCAAAGAGATGTAGGAATTTTGTTGTTCAAAACTTAAAATAAGAAGCACAATGGAGTAGCAGGAAATAAGCCTGGAAACGCCAGGATTGATAACTCTAAACACATTAAAAATACCATGAGCTTCCTTTAAGAATTAATGTACTTCACAACCCTGTGGTATTTCAGTCATCTGTCTGGTTTACTGGTGTTGAGATAAATGGATTCAATGTTTTTACGTTTTTTGCAGCCACAAAGATTAAACATTTGTTTATCTGTATAACAATAGCAAATATTCTCACGTTACTCTCAGCTATGGGAGCTGAGAGCTATAGAAGGCCTTAAAACTAATGACCTTGTGGATAAGGTTGCAAGTGTTGTCATGAGTGAGCTCCAAAGACATTTCTGAACTCTGTTCAAGATCCCTCTCTTCCGATTTCTGAGCATACAGTACAAGAATTCCCACTGAAGCCCACAGAAGTTAAGATCCCTTTTACCTGAGGTGTTCAGTGCTTTGTAGGATCAGAGCATAAGCAAGGCTTACAAATGAATACAATCAGAGATTGTTGGGGTTTTTTTAACTGTACCTTTTAAATTGTATTTCTGTCTTTAACACCACCTTTAAAAAAAAAAAAGTCAGACTGTAAGAGGATAAGCATAATACAGCAAGTTTGAAAAATTCCCTGACTCCCTGGCACCATAGATTCAAGTCTCGGGGTCACCGAACCCTTCACCTTTCTCAGATAGATAAGATGACTACTGCAATATTTAATACAAGATAAGCCACACAAGCATTTGACTGGATTTGACCTCTCAGACAGCTTACAAACCCAACAGCTTGTGTAACCTGAACCTCTGCAAGGAAATGGATATTTGTACATTCTCCCATAGCTTCAAGAACTGGAGACTGAGGAAACATCCAATATCATAAGACATGCTGAAGGCGTTATCCAGAAATACTGCTGAAGCCACTTCTTTAGCTGTATCTTCAACTATCAATGGCCAAAGCTGCTACTCACCCAGGTATGAAGAGCAGGCTGAGCTTTAGGAGTCTGTACATCTGTAAAGCTCCTTTCCAGAAGGAGCTGCACCATGGAGACAAACAGTAGGCACATAAGAACACCAGACAGAGCTACAGGTCAGATCCTGCTCCTAAGTGACAAAACACTGCTTATAAACAGCTCTTCGCATGGGAAGCCTGGATGGGTTCTCTGCTGTCCTACGTGTGTCACTCTACTTGGTAGTGTGGCAAACACCCTGCATGGTCAGATATACAAACAAAGTATGTCCTTCACAACCAGAGAGGAAACCCAGATAGCCATGAACATCCACCCCACATGCTTTTGCTGTCCTAAGCCTCATTCTGGTGGTGTGAGCTCTGGTCCACCAGAGAAGTAGGGCAGGAGATGACAGAAGGCTGCAGGTGGGCAGCATGGACAGCCACAGGCCTGGCCACACTCCACTGACTCTCCCACTCTCCCTTAACCAGGAATCCTTACATTCTTAAATTCTGTGCACGTATTTCTACTGATATGAAGCACATATACAGTTTCAGAGCACATTAACCCTGTCTTCCCATGTGAGAAGGTTTCTCCCAGTGGCTACTGTCACAAAGGAAAGCGGTGCCTGGGGGGAGGTTCTCAGAGTCTGCCTGCCTGCTTTGCTCAAGCTTCTCATGTACCAGCAGATGCTGTCATTCATATTGCTGTGGCATCTAAATCTGCTCTGAAAAAAGTTATTATCTGTTGGTAAGGACACACATGGCTTGTCTACAGTTGAGGCTCTGCTAGAGCCACATGCAGACTAGCAATAGTGGAAAATTCTGAAGTGCAGACAACCTCAGACAGACACAGAAATAATCCAACAAATGTCAACAAATTTACAGAAAGCTTTCCAATTTCAGAAGCAGTAATTCCCTATGAAAGTATTTGCATTGTATACTTCATACTTCAGGGTGCTCTCCACATTCCTCTGAAAGTCCAGCATGAAAAATACTTGTCTTAATCCAAATGTCCTCTACATAGCAATGGAATGTTGAAATTTGTAAAATGTCAGAAACCTGGGGGCTTTTTTTCCCCCTTCTGTTGGAGCATTGGCAGAAATGTAGATGACACAAATTCAAACTGCACAGGTGGAACTAACGCCCTCCTCCTAGCTGAGTTTCAAACAACAGAGATATGTGTCTTGTTTAACAGGATTTATGAAGGCTTCTGGGGAAGTCAGGATCACTTCAAACCAGTTTGACTAAGAAGAAATAAATTAAGCCACTGCAAAAAAAAATAGGGAAAAGTATCAAATTTAAATTAATGAAGAAATTTTATATGTTCTTAATGCTGTGATTATTTGATTAAAAAAACCCTAGAAAATAATAATTCAAAAATCTATTATTTCATAATGTATTTGCATTTGTCTGTACAAATATATTAATTCCTGTTCCAATTTGGTCCTAATACAGCACTGTTTGTATTTGCAGGTGGCAGGAAAATATACGTTACTGTTTGTGATTGAAGCTATCTAATCAAGGACATATTTTTCGTACTGAAAACAAGTATAGTAATAGAATTTTATCTAGCCCATAATTTTTTTTTTTAATAATGGAAAGTATGGTACACTATAGATCACATCTGGTTATGATGAACTGGAATAAACTCCTATTTGCATGTCTATTTTTCTCTTTACTAAATAATTGTCAATGTGGTTTATTTTTCCTCATTCTGACTGATGTTGCATAACTCTTCCATGCATTATTGCAAGTCAATTCAAGCATTTTTGTCCAAACCATTTCACATTACACAACTAAACATTTAAAAAATGTGAAATCAAACTAATCTATTTTTTCTTTAGTATTAAACTTGACGCTAGCCAGCACACTCCCAAATCTGAAAATACTTGCCTTAAGTTATGCAAATAGTTATAATCATTTCAGTAAGGTCACTGTCATACTTAAATATGTGTGGTTTCAGGTTCAGGAACCTGGTGACTCTTCAACAGCTCTGTGCCCGTACATCCTGCAGGTATCTATTGGCTGCAAAATGCTCCTGCAGAGGAAGAGATGAAATCCACAGGCTGGGCAACTGCTTGCAAGGGATAAATACAATCAACTTGCCAGAGGTACTTCCTTTGTGTCAGATTGCTGCAGTCAGGAGCACTTGACAATCTGTACCTTCAAAGGCAACAGTTCAAGGTGGCTAAGATCAGTTTCTTCAATCTGACATAAACAGGTATTAGGGATTGTTTCCCTGACAGAGACAATGAGCTGACCTAGATTCAGATGCAAAGGTTATTTATGTGTAAATGTTACATGTATTACTAAAGTTATAGGATGCTTTTAACATCAGAATGAATATTGCATGGTAATGGTTCTAAATAATTGTGTAATGAACAATAAGATCTGAGATCTGCTGACCCTGATGGAAGTGACAGTAGACTGCTGCTGACATAGTCCAGGCTGACAAAGGGACAAATATGACATTGCTAGGAGCAAGTCACCTGCTCACTTTCTTCTTGTTACCTATAAATCAGCACTAACTGGGTGTTACTACCTAATATGGAAATGCCCTCCTTTTATTATAAACACATACACATCTGTACATATATACACATATATACACATATATCTCACAT